GGTTTCCTGGGGAAGGCGAAGGATTGGATATGGAAAGCGATGAAGGGAGCAGCTAGCTAGAAAAATCAAAATTCGTGTTGGCATGCAAGTTCAATGGCTGCCATCCTCTGACGGGCTAGCCGAGCGAACGAAATTAAATTTATCTGTATCAGTTCCACCGCCCCAAGGATCAGACGGGGGGATTCCCGGAACAGCTGCAGCAGGAGCTGAACACATGTTCCGACAAATTCATCTGGCATGTCACAATGCGCAACGGTATGCAGAAACATCACAGAGGGTAGCACATTGTTATGGATAAGCCTGGGCTGACATTGGCATCCTAGTTTTTGGCCCCGGCTGCAGATTGCACGTGACAGGACTCGACGAAAAGTGAAACTTGGCAAATATTTTGTTGAAACATTTTGGGGCCTGGTATGGCAATTTCATCCCCTGAATCCTCCAGTAGCTCCAAAAAATCCCCCTCTGTAGTAGGGTGGCAAGTGTCATTAATCAAATGCCGCCCAATAATAACCAACCCTTTCTGCGGCAATCTTTGAAATATGAACTTTTTGTTGTGATGAATGCCGGCAGTCATTAATAAATTAGGGGTTAAAATGCCATAACAACGGGACGAAAAGCGTTTTGGCAGCCGCTGAAAAGTTGTTTATTTAATTGAAAGCGAAACGAGGGAGCTAACGGATTCGTTAAACTCAATTAAATTGGGAGCAAGGGAATATGGGGGAAAATCAGTTAAACTTTGATTTAACGACACAAACACTCGCTGTCAGGCCCATATCACATTAAGCCCACATTAAAAATGGAGCGTTGATTTAGGGGAAAACTAAATTAATCAGCAAGGCAGACTATATGGGTAATTAATTAAAACCAGTTCTGCCTATTACATCTGCCCATTTTCTAGTGTTTTACTTTAATGTCATCTTGATAGCACCAGATTGATTTTACAATAATTATATTCCCAAGCAAACACACAACTCATTATATTATTCAGTTGAAAATGGCTGATTGCCGGGCACCGGGGATTTTAAATTTAACTATTTTGGAGGATGAGAGCGATCTGCTGACTAGTGGTAAAGATCCCAGCGGCCCGGAAGAGGAGACCGACCTGGACATGGCCTACGAGGAACTGGAGGCGACGAAGCAGCGCCTGATCCTACTGCGCTCTCAGATCCTAAGCCCAAAGCCGGATAAATGCCAGGATCTGAAAGTCCAGGAGGTCTTTAGCCCCGAGAGGCTGCAGCTCCAGGAACTGCGTCGCCAGAAGTTCCAACTCATCTGTCGGTTTCAGGAGGCGGAAAAGCATCTGAAGGATACGCGACTGGAGCTCCAGGAGCTCGAGGACTGGCGCTGCCAGCTCCAGTCCCGCATCCTGCAGATGAAACGCCAAGTTTCACAGTTCGAGAAGTTCAGACCACGGGCCATCCATCAATTTGGTCTGTGCCTCGAGCGCTGGGAGCACCACAAGACCCACAAAATGGACTGCGCCACTTTCCGGAAGGAAATGGAGGCCCAAGTCCACCGGACGGACAACACCCGGAAGAGCGAGGTGCCACTGAAGTGCCACCAGCACCACAGGCACCAAATCCGCATGGAGCTGATCATGTTGCGGGTCTTCGTTCACAATCTTTTCGAGGCGATGGTCAGCGACTTTCGGTTCTTCTGCCGCCAGCTGAGCATCAAGTGGGTCTATTATACTTTTAAGTATCCCCATATGACTATAGCCTCAACTTCATTTCAGCTTTACCCGAGAATCCGTTGAAAGACCTTCCCCCAAACTTGCCGATACTCCTAGCAACTCGTTTTGCTCTTTCGACGCAGAAAGCCACGAATAAATTGGGTTTCCAGCAGTTATTGCCTTAATTTACATTTTAATTTCGGCGGCCCTCTGTTTGTAATTGCCCGGGAAATGTCGCCCAATTAGGGTTATTGAGGTTTGACGGCCCCCAACAGCCCTTTTGTGGTGCCAATAATAATTACAAAATTTCAACTTGAACGGAAAAGTGGCGGCCATCATTAAAGTCAGGCTATCACGGACTTTCCGGTTGCCTAATCCGACTTTCGACGTCAGCCAAATGTGCTCGCATTCCCACCAGGATAAGATGGCTAAATACGAAGCGGCATCAGATAAAAACAAAAGCAGATTTGTCTTTCCCCAAAAAAAACGAGGAAATCCGCACCACACACTCGAAAATAGAGACTGGAGCTAAGCTGACTGCCTCGGGCTGAAGGCCAGCAGCCAAGGCTGAAATCCTTATCCTGCTCCAGCTCCTGCTCCGAATACTATTCCAGCTCCATCTCCGTTCCCAGCTACTGCCCCCATATCCTTTTTGGAGGTTTTCGAAATGCGTAAAAACTCAATTGCTGCGCATTTGACGCGGAGTGGTGGCGATGTGGTGGGGTTTCAGAGTCCGGATCGACATGGGTCCCGGGGCTGAGTGAGATGCTAGATAACGCCGGGATTGAAGGAAAATGAGGGGTATGGCAAGGGGAATGTGAATGGTGAAAACGAATTTATTGGAGTCATGTGCTAATGCCAATGCCAAATTGCAAGGTTACAAGCGGTTAGAGGCTGGAAGCTATCGCCAATTTTACGACGAACATTTTGTACTCTGATATAGATTGAATAGGAATTAGAAATATCGAAAAAGTTGTTGTGTGAGAATCTGACTCTATTAAGAACACAACGTGTATCATATTTATTAAAAGCTCTCTTTATATTACAGAGTTCCCAGCCTGCTATTCTTAATACTTACCAAGTATATTGCCTATAAAATAATGGCATTTACCTCCAGTATTTGCTGATTAACTTTAAATTTCATATTCAAAAAGGCAGCGCAGTGTAACTAAAAAAAAAAAGTTAACCTCTTATTCTTTCTAAACTCCCACTTTTTACTACCTAGGTTTCAACAAAAAAATCTTTTAACAAAGTTCCTTCCTTCACAAAATTTCGTTTGGATATTTTTCTTATGCATCTTAGTATTCACCATAATGTTTACCTATGCATATTTAATGTGCTGGGCTATCACACTGTATCTCCGTCTGACTATGTTAATAATACAGTCCAATATTATTCAATTGAACATTATCATTTCTTCCAACAAAACAGTAAAATAAAGTCTTCTTTATATCTAAAATGAATAAATAAACCATTAATTAACACAAAAATAAATTAATTAAATATAAAATAATAAAAATTAAAGTTATACATCAAAAATAAACATTCCTATTTATTCGTTACATGTTCCCTACAGATATACCCATTCGAGAAGAGTACGCCAACAGAGATGGAAACATGTAGATACACAGATACTGGCACCGGCACAGGACCCGGACACCGGACTGTTGGCTGTTGGCTGTTACAAGGCTGAAACACAGGAAACGCATTAGATACGATACCTCTGCCCCATTCGCAGTTGTAATTCGTGGGATTCCCCCCAAGGATGAAGATGGAGTTGGAGTTGGAGCTGGGATGGCGCGATAAAAATCTACGTAAAATGATGCGGCAATTTGATGAGCAACTAAGTTCGGGCAATTAGTTTGTAAACGCTTGCCAGTTGCTGTGCGTGTCCAGCTAAACTGTTGCTCGAAGGTGGGGCAGAGATACGGAACTATTTACTAATGGGCTTAGGAAGGCCCGAAAAGTTTGCCGAGTGATTTATCTGCTGGGGGAACGGGGCTATCCGCAGGGAAGACACCGATACCGATACAGATACCGAATCTCTCTCGGATTGATTAGCAATTTTCCCCCCAATTTCCACACAATTCCCATTCACATGACCCCTGGCACCGGGATGACATTCGGTTCTAACGGAACCATGGATACTTAACAATCGCCAGCGGTTCGCTTTCGTGCTCTTGCTGCTCCACTGAACTCTTTGACAAGCCTCAGATGCGGAGAACAAAAAGAAATAAGGCTCGCCGACTTGCTAATAAGCCGATTCCCGATTCCCGACCAAAAAAAAAAGAAGGCAGTAAAGGAAAAGGAACAGAACGGCACAGAAAAGTTGCCTTCGGGCTGCTCCCCAGCAATTTCCAAGATACATTTCGAGTGCCCAAGTTTGCTCTGCTCTTCGCAATGTGTGTGTGTGCGAGTTAACCGCAAAGTACAAATAATTTCCATTTGGCCAAAGCGGCGGCATTTGCATAATTCTCCAGCCCAGCCTCACAAAAGACAAACATGCCTGCCTGCCGGGCAGTATTTAAATAGCTGCCAGATACGTCTACTTATAAATACTTTTGTCGTCTCGACTCGACAAACGATACGGCACAAGTTGTAGATAAATATGGCATAGATTACACAACTAGTTCTGTGCCACAAGAAACTTTTCCCGGTCGCTGCAGCATTCATATGGATATCCGAGCATAAGTATCTATAAGCATAAGTATCCGAGTATCTGTAAACATGGCGCAGCGTTTATTTATGAATTTCTCAGCGGAGCGGCGGTAGCTCGAATGCGCCATTCTCACCGAGAAGCTTTCGAGGGCGCCGTGGCTTAGTTGGTTAAAGCGCCTGTCTAGTAAACAGGAGATCGTGAGTTCGAATCTCGCCGGGGCCTAACCCCTAGAAATGTTGATTCTGGGGTGTTTCTTTTTTTTCCATCATGGCTAACCACACCGACATCCCCATTTAACCCTCTGTTGCCTAATGGTAACTCCAGTAACTGCTATTTTCATTGCTCTTAACGGCTGTTTATGGTTCCGCTTGCCAGATGACGCCTTGGAACCCATTAACGTGTTCCAATTGCTTCAATAATCATTAAAATATTGGCAGTTCACCATCCCCTCCCCAAATGGTTTGCCATAGCAAGAGCTTTTATAAAAAGCTTTACATGGGAACGAAAAGCTTCTCAAAATTAACATTAATTTGTAGATAAAGGTGTTTAATATTTAAAATAAAAATTGTTAAACACAAATATTTTAGATTACGTAAATGTTTTTAAGTTCAATAAACTTTATTGAATCTTAAAAAGTAACCAATTCTTATAAATTGCTTTTGTTCATTCTTAGTTCCTTGCTAAGCTTTTAGCACAAATATTACGGTATAACACTTTTAGAACCGCAAATACTACTTTAAAGCTTTTTCTTACCGTTACGCAGAACTTCCGTATCTAGAGCTTTTCCGTAAAGTGGTTCCATAGGAATCTAATCAATATACATAGTTGTCTAGAACCCGTTCATATCATATCTCTCATTCCATGTCTTAGACTTGAAACAACTGAACAAATATCAATTCCAAAATTAATTTTTACGAAAAAAATTTCTTTACGCAGTGTGAAATTTTGCTCAAGTTGGGTAGTTTAACGCCCGCTGTCACAACGGCGCCGTGGCTTAGTTGGTTAAAGCGCCTGTCTAGTAAACAGGAGATCGTGAGTTCGAATCTCGCCGGGGCCTACAGTCGAGGACAAGTCAAGTGTCCACTTTTTTTTGTCCAATGTTTCTTTTTATTTTTCCATAACCTAATGCGTATTTGTGGGTCAACACTTAACTAAACCTAACAACAGTAATTAACAAGCAACTGGAGGAAGTACAGCTAATTCGCACCTAATCCTTGTAGACCAGGTACAGCACCACGATCATGAAGTACGTGGGCCGCTCGAAGACCAGCTGGGTGAAGTTGTCCCGCTTCTCGTCCATCAGGTGGCACATGCGCTGGAAGACGCCCTGGTTCTGCTTCTCCACGATCGACAGCAGGCAGACGATGCGGTGGCTGTGGATTCAGGGGGATGGGGATTCTCAGGGGCTAAGTGATTATAACAGCGGAGAGGTGATCCCGCCACTTACCGCCTGTGGTTCAGCTTCTTGACCCGGTCGCGTATCTCGGCCGCCAGACCTTCGACCAGCTGCAGAGCCCGCCAAGAATCGTAATTGCGGCTGAAGCGATCCCACAGCAGCCGCTCCTCGATGCAATCTTCGATGATCTTCTGGGCACGTTCCATATTGAAGTTGGTGTGGAAGAACTTCCAATCGTTCTTGGGCTTCTCCTTCCGCGGCTCCCCACCCTCCCCGCCGGCGGTGGCCTCACCCTCCGGATTTTGGGCGGCCCTCCGCCGGCTCAACATCGACTCCGAGAGCAGGGCATTCATGCGGTTGGTGGTGCGCACCGATGCGGTTATCCTGCGGATGGTAATCGTCGAAATTGATAAGACCTTAGCGATCAATTTCTCGATGGAAATTATAATCGCGAGTCTTGTAACCTGAGAATAAAGTGATTTAGTATACTGTGCAAAATTTGTTGAGGTCATTACCACATTTTAAAGTAAGTTACGAGTTTGTATAAGTTCAGTAAAGTTATTTTTATCGCAGTGCAAATATACAAATATACCTTGCGATAATTTAAATGTGCTCTAAACTTTACCAAGACCAGGTATTACCTTATACTGAAAGGGTTTCTTTAATGTTCATGTAAGTATTCATTCTATGATTTTTGTATTAGTTAAATGTTCTAACTAAGAACTCGAAGTTAAGTAAGGTAAGTTTAATCGTAGTGCAACAAATATACCTTTCGATAATTTAAAAGTGTTCTAAACTTTACCAAGACCAGGTATTACTGTTACTGAAAGGGTTTATTTAATGTTCATGCAAGTATTCATTCTATGATTTGCGTATTAGTTAAATGTTTTAAATTAGAGCTTGAGTTAATTAAGGTTAGTTTTATCGTAGTGCACCAAATATACCTTTCGATAATTTAAATGTGTTCAAAACTTTACCAATTCCAGGTATTACCTGTTACTTAAAGGGTTTATTTTATTTTCATATAAGTATTCAGTATTTGATTTCCGTGTTAGTTAGAAGTTCCAACTTAGAACTCGTTGTTATAACGTTATTTCATCTATTTGAAAACTCTGTTTTCTAAATATGATTTGTAAGTATAATATTGTTAAAAGTGGTCTCATATCACAGTTTATTTCAAATTGCAATATACGGTTAGAAACCTTTTTAAGGCTTCTTTTTGTTGGTCCTTATTTTATCACATCACTCTGATTTCTTTGGCACTTGCGTCTCGAGGAAGTGTGATTTTTGCCGGTCAATTCCTACCGCGTTTTCATGGTAGTCCAGGAGGTCATGGTGTTCCTTGAACCGATGGCCTGTCGATTTTCAGAGCTGCCTCTGCCAACCGGCAGCGGAAAACAAACACCGAGCGCTGCTATCTGCACACTGACAGGAGCGGCATGCCGACACGAGTCCTGCCCATCAACAAGGCCTTTGGCCCCATGGAGTGAAGGGGTATCCACACATCGTCAAAAGTTCTTTGAAGCTTTGTTGGTTTAGGCCCGCTCTTCAGCGGAGCCTAGGGATGACAAAAGCTGCTATGGTTTCCCCATAAATACAGTTCAATATCCTGCGGATAGCTCACGCTGCCATCGCAAACTTTGAGCTAGTCTTCGGCCTTCCGGCTTGCGTGCCGCTTATCATAAATCCACCGCCGGGGCGCTCCAATTGCAATCTGCCGGATGGCGGCGGAGACGTGGGTGTCATCGCCACCAGCCACTCGGCAGGATATGCACTGGGTTCTCGGGCCCAGTCAAAGGCAAAGTGTTGCCATATGGACGTGTGCTGGCTGGGCTCTGGGTTCTGGGTTCTGGGGGCCTCGACGGCACGCGATTGCCCTCCGAAGTTGATGACTTCCCTGATTCGGTCTGCCCTGCGACACCTGGGCGCGGTCTTCGCGGCCAGGTGAGTGTCTTAGTGTCTTCGTCTTGGGCGCGAACTTTCAAGCACTTTGATTACTTTTTATCGCAGAAGTGTCCCTCGACGGCAGCGTATGCAAACTTCGCGATGGCGCTCCAAAAATTAATCTATCGGCATGCATCAGTAGGCGTATATATATGAAGTTATTAAATTGAAATAACTGTCAAGTCACGTGCATGAAGCGCGGAGTTGACGACTCCTCATTGCTTCCAAATGGGCGATACAAGTGGCCGGGAAATAAAGGGGAATTGAGCATTCGACGGCCGAGCACTTTGGGGTAGGGCATGATAGTCGGCGTTATTGCCAAAACAACAGCTCGAACGGCACAGGGCACGAGAATAGGAACAGTATAGGAAGTTTTATGGTTGAAAATGGGTGCAACATTAAGCTTAAGCCTTCAAAAATGTGTATAAAGTTTGGTTAAAATGTGGTAGCCACGCATTTTATAGATCTTAAAGTCTAGTTGCTTAACTGCGGACTAACTACAATGTACGAATTAATACAAAACTGTTTACTAAAGTAGTGAAACTACTTCACAAAAATAAAATATCAAATTCTAAGAATACTAAAAATATTAAACAATATAAATATCGTAATTAAATTAATAGCTTATACTTTGTACTCTTATGTTCAAATTTAAAGCAATTCGACCCTTATTTTTTTATTTTGTTACATAGATTAAGCTAACTTACAGTGTAAAACTATGAGCTAGCTTATAATTGCGTTATATATATTATATATATGTATATTAAACAGGGTCACAAATAAGTTAATAATGGCTTAACATTTTAGTTTAATTAAGTGAAGTTTTGATTTAATTCTTTGTTTTAACATACTTTTGTAATATTATATATTATGTAAACAATAATTATGACAAGTAATATAAAAATGTAGTTAAGATAAGAGACTTTAGTAAAAGTTTAATTTACTATAAATCAATCATTAATATTAGTGTTTAGCTGAACTTTTTTCATAATTAACATTTAATAAGCATATGAGTCTTAGGTTTTAGTATTTAGGTACTATAAAATAATAATAATAATGTACACATGTATTGAATACCATTTCACCAGCTTAAATATTGTTTATGTATATCTTTCAGGGTCAGATACCCTTCCTCTAAACCATTTTCAATACAAAAACTGAATAATGATAATGATAATCCAGTTAATAAAAATAGCAAAATTAAATACGAGTTGTGAGATTATGATTAATGGCAGGTTATTACGAAAATGTCGTTTATAAGGATTTCTCTTGATTTCTGATATTTATCTGCCTGACGCACACAAATCCATTTTGGATTAGCCAACGATTTCCCCAACACGCATTCTTCTAACCACCGAAACGAGAACGCAGCACGAATCCCGAACCAGTAACCAGGTTACTAATATCAAAGTTTTTCCGACCCCTGCCAAATGGATGAGGGATTCGGAACAGCAAAATACTGGGTGGCTCACGTGTGCGTGGGTGAAAATTAAACAACAGCTAAACAAATTAAGCAATTTGTACCGCCCTGCTCTCCACAAATTGGGCGGAAATCGAGGGGGTGGCAGTTCGGAGCGGGTTCGAACTCATTAGCACCTGGGTGCACGCGACCCGTGAAAATTTGCATAGAACTTACGCTTGCATGCGACTACTCATGGCGGCGTCTGAGTCTTAACCTATGCTTCACCGCCACCTGAGAATAGCTCAGGATGAATACTTTGGGAAAAGCAAAACTGCACGAATGAAACTCACAAATGAAACTGGCTGAAGTCTCCGGCTCCGGGAGCTCTGAAGCATAAAAGCGCAAGAGCCACGGCGAACTGGAGCCCGGAGAAAGGGGAGAATGGAGAAAGGTGAAAGGGTTGAGCTGAGTGCGCCAACGAGGTGTACGCTTTGATGGTGATTGGCTCACGACCCAAAAGGTGGGTTGTGCAGTGGGAGGACTTCATGTCACTCGTTAGCTCCGCTCGGCTGCGATTTGATTTGAGTTAGCATGTCTAAGGACAACTCAGCGGCAATTTTCGGCCCGGGGGAACCAGTAAATGTGTGCCAATGTATTCTAAATTGTGTTTATTTTGAGTAATTTGCCATCCACCGATGGCATATCTCGCCTGCACACACACATCGCCTGACTCCGGCAGACAGTTTGGCAATTAAAATTTTAGGTTGCCAACTGTCGACGCGCCGCATGCAAACCAAATAGTTTCTAAATACGTAGAAAGCGCGAGAAGAGATGGATTGCAGGGTACACAGGGAGAAAAAATCGAACACAAAATAGTTAAAGAGAAAAAGGATCAGAGAGAAGCTCTTGACTTGAATCATTCTTCTATCTTTCGATATCTTTCGTAAGAAATATATGGTTTAGATACTCTATTAAATTTCAAAAATGTCCACATTTCATATATTCTTAAAGATTTTGAAATAATATATTTATAAATAAAATAGGTCTTCCACACTGATCACCTGTAATGCTTGAATACCCTAATATAAATTAAAAGTCATATGCAATTCCACTATATATAGGTGCAGTTTTATTATCTAAACCTATCTCAACAGTAATTTCATTTTTTAAGTATCAAAAGATCGGATCACAACATTCGAATAACAAGTATATACAAATATTCAACTATTTATATGTTCTTAAGATTCTTTAATATGCAGAGCGACGCCTTTCATTCTTGAAATACACTCCCAAAATGGTAGTAAAAGTAAAGGCACCGATCTGTAATACAATAAGTCAAATAAAACAAATGGATGTCAAATATAAAGGTCAAATCTCACCTCTATGACCATCAGCATCCAGCCAACCATTTTGGGACCCTTTAGAACCTCTTCGTTGTGGGACTCCAATTTCAACAGACAGCCTTCTTTGTAAGGAGTATCATTTTTGTCAAAACAGCTGCTAGGAACGGTTATAGAGGCGTCACCGTAATCCTTTAGCTTGTAAATGCCACAGCATTGCAACTGAAATCACAGATGACAAGGTTTTCATAAGATGTGATATTTTATTCTTGGTATTCTTCTTAGAACAGTACGTACACACGTCAGAAAAATATTTTACCATTTTCCATAAACAATCTAAAGTTTTGTAGTTGATTACCTCAACAAAGAGATACATAACATAAGAGATACGGAACTCACCACCCTCTGTGTATGCGTAATAATTGAAAATTGAAGTAAGTGGAAACTTTTTTAAAAAGCTAAAGCATCATAAGAATCTGCATGTTCAATCGGAATCTAGAGATGTTATAGTTTCGAAAGTGACTACGTTTGTACGGTCGGAAAGGCAGGCCAATTCTGATAACCAATCACTGTACACGTGGGAATAGGTGCTAACATTTTATATTTATACCCTTGCAGAGGGTGTAACGATTTCAGTCAGAGATTTACAACGCGGTGAAGGAAACGTTTCCCATAAAGTGTATATGTTCTTGATCAGCAGCACTAGATGAGTCGATCTAGCCATGTCAGTTTGTCCGTCTGTCCAAAAGTCTTTATTATTAAGTATTATATATTGCAGGGTGTATATAAGTCGGAACAAGCCGGATCGGGTATAAAAGCTTCGGCTTGCCAAAGTTAACTTTCCTTCTGGTTTAATAAGCTCTTACCTGTGTTTGGTATTCAGCCATGGCATCAAAGGTATTCGTTTGCTTTGCAAAGGTCTTTTGTAGTTTTGTGAGGGAGGCCTCGTCGAAATGCATGCGAAAAACAAACAGCAGGACTATCGAGATGATCAGCATAACCAGCATCGATGTTGCGTACTGCAGTTTGGGTAAAATTTTTTTAATAAGTTGATTATAAATATACTAAGAATGGTGACTTACCGCCCAGGTTATACAGATGTTCTCCTTAATAGCTCCAAAACAGCCGAAGAAAGACAGCAAGAATACAATCGAACCAACTGCAATGTATATGCCCAGAATGAGTTGCTCCTTCGGATCTATTTGCTGAATTGCGATTACATTGATCACAACTGTTGCAATTCCCAGGACCTAAAAATCATATCCCGACTCGTTAACATTGTAATAAAAATAAATAAATGACCACACCCGTAGATTATATTTACAAATATTCACAGACACCGAAAGTCATTAATCATTCCAACCAAATCCGTTTGCTTTGATAACGATTAATAACGCAACTATTATGAGTCACAAAGTAGGTTAAATTAAGTAAGTTAGAAGCTTTATTAAGCCCCTTCATATATTACTGCATACTATCAAAAAACCGTCTAGAGTCTAGACCAATACGACTTTGTACTATTTTAAGAAATAAAAAACAGGATAATTAATTTGAACTTGTAATTTTTTTATTTTTACTTGCTTTGTGAAAAACAATTGAATATTCCTTTTTATTTGGTAAATACCAGTCGATATGGAAAGTCTGGCGTGCCAATCAAATGGTACACCAAAGCACTACATTAAAATCACAATATTAGCATTTTTAACCAAAAATGATCTTCACATCTAAGCATATTTGTTTCTTACACTTTCATTTCATTGCCACATATTTTTTTGGGACACACGTTTATTTGAATGAATAATTGATTTGGCGGAAAGGTTAAAAAGTTTAAATTCACCATTATAGTCACAAAAACAACAGAGGTAGCCAAGATTACGAAAAACTTCTTCGCAGCAGTTAAATTAAATTTTTGGCCTATCATCACTCACCGCACAAAGAAAATTGAACAGAAATGCCAGGTATTTAATCATCAACGGCGACCAAGCCATGGTGAATACGAAATTTCGGTAGACGCGTGCTCTATTTTTCAGTAAGTTACTAGCTTTGATTCCGGTGCTTACTCCTGGAAGGTTATTGCAGTACTAAATAGTAGAACAAATACGATCGTCGATTGAGTCTCGCTTGCTGTGGCAATCAACTGTGAGAATACACTGAAAATATGATTGTGCTGGCTATAAATATAGCATGATAAAATGAAAGCATTTAAATTAAATTG